AAATGTCATAAGTAAGTCTTTTTTTTTCTGGTAGTGCTTATGTAAGTTGGTTAGACAATAGATATATCTTTTCTATTGCTTCAATTTACTTCTTTGGCCCTGTACATGGAATTAGCATTCAGGCATGATTTTGCAAATAAAGAAAGAAGAAAGGAAACGTTACCAGATTTTACTGGTACCATATATATATTTGGTAAATCCAACTTTTCGTTCAGTCGAAACTACACGAAAAACATTGTCTAGAATAAAATAAAATGATTGCGGAAAGAAGAAGTTGGAAGCAGATGAATGGATGCATGAAGTGCCTGTTTCTGTACTGCGGATGTACAAATCCTTTGCGCCACAGGATTTCGCTGTTTCATCAACAGGAAGAGCCGTGAACTCGTCACGAAAGGCGGAATAAAGTGATTTTGTTCTCCGGGTGCGAATCCTTCACGTAAATAGACACGTACAGTATGTAACATCAGGATGAAGCTCCGGATGAACCCCTACTGTTTTCATAAGTGTGGTGGATCTGGTACCCTTTAACTAGCTCGAGGTGTGGCTCCCATCAAACACAGGACCTCCGACTTTAGATCCCATGCAAGAGGACGTCCCTAACCGAAGCTAGGTACTCATTTTCATCCAGTGAGCCCAGTGAGGAAATGCTCCTTCCAAGTACAGCCATTAAAAAGGATTCGAACAGAGAAACAACTGTAACCACAAAACCACCTTGCCAAATACTGCTCTTCTTTTTCCTGAGTCGAGTGAGGAAATAGGTGTAAAGCGTCCTTCCCATAAGAAGCAAAAGATTGGGGCCTGCTGAAGATTCGAACCCACAAACTTCAGATTCTACTAGTATGTCAACAACTCTAACCACAAGACCACTTTGCCAAACACTGCTCTTCTTTTTTCCTGAGTCGAGTGAGAAAATATTGGGGCCTGCCTGCGAAAGATTCGAACCCACAACCTTTAGATTCAAGCCAACAACTCTAACCACAACACCAACTGTGCTTGGTGCCCGGCACGTGGAGAGGCATCATGTCATTACCGCCTCCTCTGACACCGTTTGTCTGCGTGAAAAGTCGTTAATTACACCTTCAGGGAACCTGATTGACTGTAATTGCACGATTCATTTCCCTCTCAATGGCATAAGCGAGGTTTAAGATCCTAAAATACAGACGCGTGTAGAGGTAATTACACACTTGAGTGCACGCCTAGAACTTGCGCCAACTGTGAAGGGCCGGGGGTTGTACATCATGTAACCATCACTGGAGGAGGGATTTTGTAGAAATTAGACCATGTTGTAGCCAGAACCGTACTTAATTAGTATCATGCCTAAATTGGTCAGGGTTAGGATCAGGCATGGTTCTGGATAGTCTCCGCGTATTCAAAAACTTAGATTTGCCCCAGGTACGGTTCTGGATCCGGATGCGCGTGGACTATCCAGAACCGTGCCTGAGCAACATCTACAGCGAAAACTTACTATAACTATAAAGACTGATGTGAACTATTTTATAGCTCGCTTCTTACTTTAAGGCAGTTGTAAATGTATAGACATATGGAGCTTGGTACATGGTTCGTCTAGTTCCCTAGTTCGACAAGGGATACTAATTTTTTTGTTTTGTTCAAATGTCAAAAACATATCTTGAGATATTGAAAAACAAGCAGCAGTAAACAAGTAGCAGTGCTTATATAACGGTTAAAACGGCGTCATCAAAGTGACATCAGTAGTTAAGAAACACATCTGGCGATGGCTTTTTCTTTTCATCTTTTGTGCTTCTCTGCCTACATGTAATGCGAAATGTCAGATTTTGAACGTAGTTAGGCAGGTGGTACAAACAGTTGAAAAGACAGGCAGCTATAATTACATTGGCAATGGCAGGCTGACAAGCCTCAGGAGCAATGAAATTCTTAAAACCTTATCATAAGATATGGCAATGGTGTATCATAAGTTGTCATGTTCAGCACATCACACGTGCTGCAACGTGAGAAAAATAATAAAAAATCGCATCTGGCTATAGTCTTCTAGAAATGAGAAAACTTCTGAAAATGTGCTTGAGGTGTGGCTTTTCCACAACAAAGGACTTTCGCTCTATGTTCCACCCAAAAGGACGCTAGGTACTCGTTGTCACGTGAGTCGTGTGAGGAGTTACATGCCTTCCGAAGAGCACAACATTTGAGCTTGCTAAAGATTCCTACCCAGAACTTAACTATTCGAGAAGTCAACAACCCTAAACATAAAACTACCTTGCCATCTTCCGGCCATCCACACGTATAACACGATTAGCATATTTATCAGACCGTATGTGCAAAACACAAGGTTGAAACGAAATCTGAGCTCTTCTCCACGGGGGGATGCCGTACTTCAAAGGCTGGAGAGAAGCTTTGGCTTCGGTTCAGTTGATACCACTCGATAATTTGATTGAAGGCGAGGGGAATAAACCTTAAAGGGGAATTTCTCAAAGGCCTTGCCGCTTGATAATAAGATACCGTTGAGGTTTAAAATATTGAAAGGTTTCTCAACTGTCATTTAGGCAGAACGAAGTAATCCGCAAGGTCTACCAATGGTAGCAACTATGTCTAGATGACGTCCAGGGTCTTCCAAAGGCTTCTCAATGATGAACAGGATCTTTCGGCAATCTCTCAAAGGTTTCTTTGTGGTCGCAACGAAGTTTCAATGATCTTAGGGGTCTTCCAATGGCCTTTAATTCAATCACACACACCGTCTTCCAATGACGTTTCATTGATATCCAAGGTCTTCCTAAGATCTTTCTATAGTGTAAGTCTTTCAGTGGTCTTCCAACGGTCTTTAAATGGTCTCAAGACCCCCAACAACCTCTCAATGATGTACAAAGTCTTCCAGTAATCTCCCAAAGGTCTTTCGGTGGTGTTACAAATGTCATTAATTGTCCCAAGACCCCCACCAACCTTGCAATGATGTACAAGTGATCTCTCGGTGGCCTTTCAGTGGTCTCAACAACCTTTCAATGACCACCAAGAGCTTACAAATGCCTGAAACGAGGTACAAGCTCTCTCTCTCCGTGGCCCTCGAAGGTCTATGGCCTCAACAACATTTGAATGATTTGCAAGGTCTGATGTTTTTTTAATGATATGCAAGGTCTGATGTTGTTTTTTTTGTAGCTCATCAGTTGCCTAACGTGATGGAAGAATTCAGAATCTTGTTTCTCTATCTGAGTGTGTTGTTCAATTGGCACTACCACGTGAGCTTTGTAAGCACGTGCGTGTGCGTCAGTTGGTACAGTGGTCATATTACGCAGAACGAAATGTCCAATCTACTATAGCCTAGAGTATCTATCCTCTCCACAGCTTCGTACGCACGTGGCGGCATCGCAAGTAGTCATATGACACTGACCTATCAAATCTACTATAGTCTACAGAATAGGCCATCAAGCACAGTTGGGGCATCATCACTAGAAAGCTTTAAACAACTCCTGCAATTAAATGAGAAACGATTGAGTTTAAGAAGTAGTTGGGTGTGATATAGCTAGCTGCCGCCGCGTCGCGTGCCTGCGAAGCTGGTGTGTTACGCCGAAGGGCGGTTATACCGGCTATACATATACAGATGATACAACATCTGTCCTGTCCAAAGATGAAACATGATTCTGTATCTGTATTTATATAACCGCACTACTTGCGTAGGCACGTGGCGGCAGGTTGTCATTTGACACTGAACGACCTGACAAATCTACTATAGCCTACAGCATCTACATGTATCTTGTCCACAGAAGAAAAATGATTCTGTATCCGGACCGGACTAGTTTTTTAAGCACGTGGCGGCACGTACGTATATGATACTAAATGACCTGTCAAATCTACCATAGCCTACAGCATCTATCCTCTTCACATATGAAACATGATTTTTTTCTATTGAGCAGCATAGAAGCGCACATGACACAGTGGTGGGCAGCTCTAGCAGGTTGCTAATCTTAGCCCCACCACTGACAAAGAAGTTTTAGGGTACATACAATGGCAAATAATAATAACAAAACAGCAACAAGTACCAAAACAGCAAAATAACAGACGAAACATGATCCTGTATCTGTATTTATATAACCGCACTAGATTCGTAGGCACGTGGCGGTGGTCGTATGACACTGAAAGACATGTGAAATTCAACTCATCTATCCCCCAGGGCTGCTCAATTAAGATTTTATCTTGTAAGACCCATTTCCTGTTATGTTAGGAAGCTGGGATTGCACGTGAATAAGTGGTTCCAAGTGGGTCAGGCGAATTATACATCAAGCAGCCGTCGTGAGAATTAGAAAATACTGGGTCCAAGCAATCTACAAGCAGAGGTTTTGGTGACTGAAAGACAGTATCAAATTGACAAGACAGTGCAACCCCAGGCGAAACAGATCCCTGACCTTGCTAGCAACAAGGGGAAGTGGAGGAAATTTGCAGTAGCCTGCGTAGCGTGCTAGCAGCCGACCGATGATGGGTATCATTGGCAGGGCAATATCCAGCCATCCGTTTGGCGGAAAAACGGATAACAGTATAGAATATACAGTACAGTACAGCTCAATAAAACGCGTCAAAAGTAAGACGTAGCCTACACATCTGCTTGGGGTGTACACCAAAAGGTGTTAGGTCGACACGAAAGAAACTACAGGAGCCATGAAATAAAATGCTATCTCCAACCAGGAGCTGATTGGGAAGATACTTTCTAGCGCCTTCTTGTATTCTTGCATTTTATTCATTTTCTGACAGCCTGCCCAGTGTACTGTCTTGCCTATTAGACTTTTAGAAATTAGAGACTGTTTTGTCTACCGGATACTGCTTGGCTACCGTAAAAAATATGTTGAAGATTTTATGCTTCATATGTTTCCCTTGCCCCTTGTTGTTGATGGAAATATAGTCTTGATCGTGTATGTCTTCATTGAGTCTTCGTCACTTGGCTCCCAGTCCTGATGGCTCATGATTGGCTGACGGGACATCCTAACTTTCTCATTGGTCGATTTTGAATGGTGACGTGGCCACGGCTGATCGTACATAAATACCGGTGGTTGGACCGCATCTGGCCATACCAAGCAGCTGCTTTGGTAAGCTCTCTTGCCGTGGCACCAGCGGTGCTCAGAGTGGGCGTGGGGCAGTTTATTTGTTTGCGATTTATGCTGTCGAGCTAGGGATCAGCACCTGGCCAGATTGCTTCCTTAGGCGCGTTTTTGGAAGAGCATATTTGTCAGTCAGTTTTCCGCCAATATTCAGCATCATAGTAGAATAGCGTACTCTCCTACGAGAACAGAGCCAGAGGAGTTTTAGGTGGACTAGTGTACTTGTACACCCAAAAAACAAGGAGGGAGAAAGAGGAAGACAGCAGCATGGCACACTACGCCGTGTACGACGACGACGATCAGAACTACACGACGGACTTCACCAAGCTGCCCTACTACAACTTCAGCGGGTTCTCTCCGTCGGCCTTCCAGATCCCGACGGTCGAGGACCTCCTGGCTAAGGTGTACATCTCCAGGGTCCTGCTGGGGCTGGTGTACGCCGCCATCCTTCTGGTCTGTACCGTCGGCAACACGCTGCTGGTGGCCGTGGTCTGCCGCTTCGAGGGCACGCGGACGAGGTAGGTTTGCTGTCATTCATTTAGCGTAGTTTTAGAATGCATCTGCTGTGAGATTTTTCCTCAATCCATCTAGGTGACGCCGCGCCGCGTGCCTGCAAAGCTGGTGTGTTACGTCGAAGGGCGGTTATACCGGCTGTACAGATACAGATTGGTGTAAATGGGTACCTGATTTCGGTTTGGGGGATTTGAGGGCACACCAACAACGTACTTTTTCTTCTCTTTTTAGCCTGACATTGTACTCTACCATGGATTTCTCGCAATCTTTTTTGGTGAAAATGGGTTATTACCTCATTTTGGTTGGGGCTGTGGCCGTGACCAAGACACAGTGGACTAACATTCTATGTACCTACAGAATGTACCTCAAAAATGTCATATGACTACCTTTTCCTTTACCATGGGGGCATTGCTTGTACTATGTCTGCTTTTATACTGTGATCCAGGAATGTACTAAGAAATTCCGCTTTAGCAAAGATGGCTTAATTTCATCTTTCCATTTATGCATGTAGATTCCAGCCAAACTTGTGTTATTTCATGCTTAGGTAGCTATTTTCTTATCTGCGTCCTTTTACTATTCTTACCATGTCGCCAGTAACGCTAAGACCTTTACTCAGGCATGTAGCCACTTAAACATCTACATGCATTGGATACCTTACATACCGTATTTTATGGTTTATCACTGCTCCAAGTCACCCCGTAAGTAATGAATTCTAAATGTGCCGCGTTTCATTTTAGCGCTCTTTCGAGCAAGTAAGAGCAGGGCTGCGAGCTGAGCATTGATTAGTTGCTATTAAAAGCATGAGAGGGCACCTGCAGTCTGCTGTTTCATCCGACTGATCATATTAAAACCGATGACAGATGATCTTACGGATACAATGACGCGACCTGTTCCAATCTTGTTCCATTCAATTTGTGTCGGTATACAGATGTTATTTCGCTCCTCGTAATTTTACAGTGTTTGATGTTCCACGTTTTATTAGATGTCTATTAGATTAGAATGAATGTCTCCCTGGATTTCATCCATAACATACATAATTGCAAATAACAACTGCAGAAAGCGTACTAATTGCAACTCCAAAAAGTACACATTAAGATCGTCTTTTGCAGGTCAAAGCACAATGTGTATCAGGATGCCACAAAAGTTCTTAGTTGGTAAATACTCTTCCACAGTATTTCAATTGTACAGCGTTTGCCATCTGTTGCCTTACTGTATTTCCTTCCGTAAACTTCCTTGTGTACTTTATTGCAATTGCCACTCAGGCGCGCAAAACCAACTGCGAGTCAGTGATACAATGATATTACCACTGATGAAAGATAACCGCAATTTCCCCCTAACGGCCCTGCCCCGTACAGTACATGTATTATGTAAGCCCATCTGTGCGGCTGCACAAACATTATTTTACCCGCGCTGACTCTGCAGATCAATAACCACCTGACGCAAACCCTGCTGCAAGGAACTCCAAACATCCCGTGGGAGTAAACCATACTGGAAGGCATCTACGGAACGTGCATCGATATTCTGATACTGATGATCATTCTTGATTTTGTGTTCTTCTTAACGTTTAACTTAGTGTCGTGTCGGTCCGTTCTCGGCAAATATAGCCGTCCCCTTTTTTCTATTGCCTACCACGGTTTCCTCCTCCCTGGACTGTTCCTTGCATGATGTTTTTGCTTAGTCCCCATGACCATGAAACGTGGCCATACCACTTAAGTTTTCTTCTCGTCTCCAATGGCTTTATTCCGTACTTCACCATTTGAGATTTGTGATCCCTTCGGCGTAACAAACCGGCCTTTGCATCTATATAGCCGGTATAACCGCCCTTCGGCGTAACACACCAGCTCCTGTATCTGTATAGCCGGTATAACCGCCCTTCGGCGTAACACACCAGCTGCTGCATCTGTATAGCCGGTATAACCGCCCTTCGGCGTAACACACCAGCTTCTGTATCTGTATAGCCGGTGTAACCGCCCTTTGGCGTAACACACCAGCTTCTGTATCTGTATAGCCGGTATAACCGCCCTTCGGCGCAACACACCAGCTTCTGTATCTGTATAGCCGGTATAACCGCCCTTCGGCGTAACACACCAGCTTCTGTATCTGTATATCCCAGTGTAACCGCCCTAAAGTAACATACCAATATGAGCATATCAATTCCTTAATGACAGAACACTCTAGAATCCACCCATGTCCCCTGCCATTACAAGTCTGCTTTGACAGATAATTATGATCTGCTCCACGTTTGTCCTTTGTCGTAAAACATCATGTCATGTAAGTCCATTTGCGTCTGCCACCCCCGCTTATCTATTGAGCAGACTAGCAGGCTTTGAGAGTCAGTTATCCTGACACAGTTATGCTTTCTAATAGGCTATCATGATGATACTGATTCCGTTGGCTCCATCAATTTTAGGCAGTACAATATCAGGTAATAGTTTGTGCTCATAAACCTGCATTTCTCCTCTGGTCTCTCAGTCACTGGCGAAAGCTAGTGGATACTATCTGAAACGCCTGACCGTTTCCAAAATCATATCCAGTTGCTTGAGTAACTGCTTTTTGGTAATATCAGGTAAGTCCGTAAGCCAGTTGCCACATGCACGGTACAGGTAGATGTAGTCGCCCCCACGACTCTTTTGCAAGCTGTGTTTGATCGATAAAACACAGAAGCAAATGTTGAAGTCGCCAACAGGAAATGTTCACCACAGTCTGGGGAACCATTGCCAGTAAACATTAAATCAAACTGTGTCTAGAAAACTTCTTAGTGCGGAGGAGGAATACAGTTAAAACCTGTACTAGTGACCACCTCTGCATACATGTAAGGACCACCTGGCCATTGATACACAGTCAAACCTGTACCAGTGACCGCCTGGTCATTGATATATACTATTGACCACCTGTACATAATGAAATAGTGAAGCCTGTACTAGTGACCACCTCTACATAAGGCCATCGTCAAACTTGTACTAGTGACCACCTCTACATAAGAACCACCTGGCAATTGATGTACAGTCAAACCTGTACAAGTGACCACCTCTACATAAGGACCACCTGGTCATTGATATACAGTCAAACCTGTACTAGTGACCACCTCTACATAAGGACCACCTGGCAATTGATGTACAGTCAAACCTGTACTAGTGACCACCTCTACATAAGGACCATCTGGTCATTGATACATAGTCAAAAAAAAAAAAAAACCAATATATAAACCAGTACTATCTAGCCGTTGTGGCCATTCTTGTTTGTCCCCCTTAGATCGTTTTCCCCATTAACCCAAGCATTAAGAATTCACCAAACGTTGAATACCAGGTAAGAATGGTAATGCACGCTTAAAGCTTTAGGAGATAAACTGGAACAGTATAGCTTTACTGGGCGGATTTGCAACACTTTTACGCACACTAAACGGTGTTATCACCTTAAGATCTTACAAAACACGTCATCAAATACGTCAGGACATAATCCGGTAATAGCTTACCAATAGGTACCATATGGAATTTAATACACATGGGTCACTGCACGAAAAGCAAGATTTACCAAAAGCCGAGACTTAAGCGGATTAGTCTCATTCGTTCTAGTGATTTTTGCGTAATGCAACCTTTACCAGACTTTTCTGGCATTCATCACCATTGTTTAATTCCATTTTTTTTTGTGCAGCTCCATTTTCCGACGTCAATGTGACTGTACATGTGTAAAATGACTGAAGAATAATTGAATAGCAAAGTTCTCTATATATTCACAACCACTTCTGTATCTGTATCAGTATAGCCGGTATAACCGCCCTTCGGCGAAACACACCAGCTTCGCAGGCACGCGGTGCGGCGGCAGCTAGCTAAATCACACCGAATGACTTGTTACACTCAATCTTTGCACATTTAATTACAGGAGTTGTTTAAAGCTTTCTAGTGATGATGCCTCAACTGTGCTTGGTGGCAACGAGTTCCAGTCTTATTTATGCTGAGGTCACATTTCCAAGCCGGGGCCCGGCCGGGCTGCTTCAATTAACGAAAAATCAACAATTTTTATCAAGAATATACACAAATAGTTCCATTGATGATATTTCTTAATTGTTTTGTGCGTTGTTGTCTTTTATACCATATTTTTCGTTACAAAAGACAGCCCGGTCGGGCCCCGGTTTGGAAATGTGACCTAAGCATTAACAAGAGCCGGCGTTTCTATGACCGGCTGCCATCTTCATACTACTGTAACATTGATCTCTACATGTTCACCTTCTAGGTTAATTGGTTTTCACAAGAGCGATCTCGCGCGCTTTGACGCATATACATGGCTTCCGAGCCGGCCTCCAGTCTGATCCTTGACTTGCCGACCTGTATTACTAGACAAGGCTATTTCTGTCGTCAGATCAGTGGCCATCTGAGATCAGAGGGTCACGAATTGCCTGGATAGTGTTTCTCTTGCCTTTCTTGGTGGTGAAATCAACCCTCCGAGAATCACATGAAGCATCCTTTTCTTCCTGACAAGAGTGTGAAGTGCGTCATTCAAAAACGAGTAACGAGTCAGGGGGGAAAATCGGTGTACTCGTCTCTTTGAAGCCGAATTGGCTTCAAATTTCCTGTTTTTCTCGATTTAAGAGGGCCCTAGAGCATATGAAAAGGAGTACTTAAGTAGCGATCGACTTTAAAGATTACAAAAATACACATACATAAATACACACACACACATGCACACCACACCACATACATATTACATACATACATCCACACATACACACCACACCACACCACACACACACAGGCGCACACACATACACGCACACAGGCACACACACACACACACACAAACTCCCTTACGAACTCCCTTACGTCAGGGCCTGTGGCATAATAACTTCTACTAGACTAAGCTCTCTCAAACTTTTCTAGCTGGTAAGGTCTTTACCGTGCCTAACCGAAGCTGCACCATATCATGTAAAGCGCCTTTCCCAACAGTAAAACATTGTGGCCTATCGGGAATTCAAACCCAGTACATCTTAATTCTAAGAGAGTGGACTTTG